CAGAAATGGACAGGGCTAGTTAACTGCTAAACTGGGGGTATTTTGATAAATTAGAGTGAGTCCTGTGGGACTGGCAATCTTCGATCTGCTGCGCATCACAGCACGCTCCCCAAAATAGATGCCTTGGTTTGAAAAGATGAGGAGCAACCTCTGAGGGAGTAGAGAGAAGGCAGGTCCTGGGGCAGCACTGGCCAAAGAGGTCTCTGGAGGCATTGGGAAACATGGCTTGCAAAATAAATAACTGCTGAGTGATTACATTAATATTGCTGTAGGTCTATCCCCCAGGCTTTATTAACAGCTCCTTAATTGGGGCTTGCTTGAACTAATTAGTTCAAAGAAGCAGCTGGGGGCCAGACCAGATTGAAAAGGGGCTGTATCTGATTCATTCCCTAATGGGTGGTCCACCCTCTCTTGTGTCTCTGAAAAATTTAAGCAGTTGCTCAGCATCCTCTTCAGTAACCTGAGTATTGCTAGTTTAAAGGTACTACTATTTTAATTTTAATAACGTGCTCTTTGCAGGATTGTACCAGAGAGTGGAGGCCGAGCTCTAATAGCCTGCTCTGGTTGCAGGGAGGTGCTGGGTGTTCTTGTGGTCTTTTTGGCCCTTTTTTAGGAAACTGCTGATGTTTTGTGGGTTACTCCAAAATGTGGCCCTGGGGTGGGCTGGCTCCTGGGTGCTGGCCAGGATGGCAGGGGCAAGGCTCTCCTGAAGAGCCATCAGCATGGCCATGCACAGGCTGGCATGGATGCCCGATTTCCCCCCCTGAAAGCGCCTTTTCTACCACCCACATCTAGAGACAAGGTTAGAAGACAACCTGACTGGGGCTTAAACTGAAGATTTTGGTAAGTGATTTAAAATTCTGTGTTTTTCAGGAGTAAATAACCCTTGCTGGGGGCCTGTCTGTGCACTGCATAGAGGCAATTACTGTGTGGCCTCTATCACCGATGTGTTGGGATCAGCCAGATTCAGGTAAACATGCTGGATGTGGTGTCTCCTAAATGGAAAATCCCTGATGAGGGCCATGAGCTTTAGCCAGCCTGTGGTTCTCCCAGCCCATAAACCTCACTCACCCCTCTCACTCACCCCTCTCCCACTAGCCCTTCCTCAAGCCGCTGCCTCCTCTGTCCCCCTCTCTGCACTGCTCACAAATTCATCCCCCTCCCTGGGCTCTGTGGCAGTGCCAGGTCCCCCCTCTCCGGCCAGGGGATTTGTTTTCTGTGTAATCGAAGAAAGCAGATGGCATTTTACCAGGTCAACAAGCACTGGAAGGGCTTTAATTAAGAAACTAACAGGTTAGGTCAAATTGAGGAGTGGCTTCAATGTGGTAAATTATTTAGGAGTAATAGATTCTCTATTTGGTGGCATATTTATAAACTCGCAGCCTATGTTCAGGCTGTTGAAAATAAAAGCTGAGGGTAAAATGCAGCTTCAGACTTTGAGCAGGGTGGGGTGTTGCAGGGTACAAGGTAATCTAGGCTCAAGCTTGAAGGAGACTCTTTGATTTCTTATAAGGAATTAAGGTTTTTATTCTGACCCTGGATATCTAGGGGAAGTTACAGTGATGAATAATTTCTTTTAATTCCTTTCTGCTGGTGATCTATTTCTCAACAGCATGCAGCTGCCTGTCTTCTCAACCAGCATCTCCTTAGCAAGCGAAGTGCTGACCTTCCACCTCCCCTTCCACCTAAAACTCTCTCAAATACTCCTAACATGTCAGAATAAGCGCAGGCAGGAGCAGGAACTCATTCCTCATCTGCAGAGTTTAATGCTCTGGTGCGTTTGCTGGAGATCTCGTGGTGCTGCGGGAATTTATCTGCCAATTAGTTCTCAAAAAATAACAAAGGGTCACTCAGTGCTTGGCAGATAAGGGCAGAAAGGGGAGAAGAGAACTGGGGTTTATCCTGAGTATGTTGAACAAAAATTTCAGAACTATCAATTAGCTGTTGGCCTGGGGCTGAAATTTAATTAAGAGAATAGTGCTTTTAGGATGTCTGGCAGGGAAAAAGCATAAAGGGGAACACTGAAGACTGGAAATGTGATGAGGAGGTGGAAGAGATCCTGCTGGAGATGCTTTGGAGTTGAGCTGCTACTTGGGTTCGAAGAGATCAAGGCTGTCTGACAAACTGCACATCCCATGCCTGAGAAATGCCTTAGGGCAGGATGCAGGTGGGTTTCCAAGCTCAGACAGTAAATCCTCTTCCCACATGGCCTCAGGGCAAAGCTGGCTTTCCTGCTGCTCTCCACACCTGCAGCCACAGGGTGAAGGGCTGGGGGACACAGGACAGCCCACCCCCGAGGAGATGCTGCCTGTGCTTGAGGCCCTGGGGCGGCACCATCCTCCATAGCCCCCAGCCTCAAGGGCAGCTGGGCTGGGTTGGGCTTTGCTGCTGTGATCTAGTTATTGTAACATCACAGGGATGCAGAGTCCCAGTCCTGGTTCTTCCTCTTCTCCAACCCCACTGTGTTTGCAGGGTGTTACCAATTTACTGCATTGCTAAGAAAGGATAATTTTTCTCCTCTCTTTCTTCCTTGCCATCCCCTTATAACTTAGAACCCTTATAGGTTAGTTGGCTGGAGAGCAGGGAGGGAAAGGGGAGAGGAGAGGATGAGATGCTGCTGGCTGTATGTCTCCGGCTGTTGGGGCTGGCTATGGTTTGTGTGCACCCAAAGGTGCCTGTGTGCTCAGGGTCCTGCACCCCAGGGAGCTGCAAGCTACAGCTCGGTGTGAAGATGAAGAAAATTAATTCCTGTGCTGGCTAGATAGGTCATGGAGTGGCTTAAGGGGAGGAAGCTGTTATGTTTTGAGGAGGTAACTCTGATGTATTGGAAGAAGGACTCATTAGCACAAGAGTCCAGCTTAGCTCTGGGCTATGCAATAAGTTGTTCCTGTTAGCCTCAACCCAACCCACGTAAGAGCTGATGAATCTGAAGGTAAGCCCTGACACATCCAAACCTCAGCCCTGGATTTTGCCATGTCCAGGGGACCAGCAGCCACCCCAGGGTTCCCCTTTCTCCTCCTATGCCTTACCCGTGTGTCACCTCAAGGCACCCAGAGCCTTACTGCTCTGGTTTGTGCGCAGATGCTTTTATCAATGGCTTGTTCTAAGCTGCTACGGTAAAATCTGTGAACCTGTACTAGAGAAAATATTGTTACAAGCAAATTGCTTCATTTCCTAGTTTCTTTTGCTAAATGGAACAATTTTCTCACATCATAGCAAAACCCACTTCCATTTTCTACAAAAAGCAAATCCCAAATATCTGTGCAGAACTTCCTTAAGAACAATGAAGAAAGCTTTGTTCCTAAACTCCCAATATACACAGAAGAGTGCAAAAATGGCATGAATCCTTAAATTTCAAACAGATACTTTTTCAAATAATTGCAAAAACCAGTGTTCTCTCTCTCCTCATCCTACAGTTATTTTGGGTGTAAAGTAGATAGTTTAATAACTCACAATAGAATAATCATACATGCAAAGCCACTCTACACCAAAATGAAATAGGTTCTGGACGGCTCCCGACACATCGGTGGGAGGCGAGGCCTTGTTCTCACTTGCCCGGGGAAGTGATTTCCCATAGATGCAGAATGGTTGCTTAATGTCCCGTGCTCTTAAAAAATATCACACAGATATTTTCCAAAGTGGATGCAAAAGTCCAAGATCTTTTTAGACTATAGTTTGGTGAAAAACATTGCTGACTAGTGAGGCTGAATTGGCTGCTCATATAATTTTTTTAGTCACTTGAGGGTTACTGGTGGCTGACACTTGTTTTATTTGGCAAGAACCTTAGCCTTTGGCTCATCTGTAATCTTTTTGATTTTACTCCTAGTCCAGATAGCCTCTTGCAAGTTTGGGGCAAGTGTCCTTGGTTTCTTGGATGCTGCAGGTCATGAATGTCCACTTTGCTTACAAGATGATAGCAGCAATGAGTGTTTTTAATGTCTTATAGTCAGTGTGTCACTTCTCACAAAACGCTTGATGGACTTTCACAAATTATTCTCAGGAAATAAGAGAATTGCTCAATTCACCTGCCATTGAAATGCAACCGTAGCTGGGATGGAGAGCAATGCTGCTTGATGGTATGCAGCAACACCACACCGGGGCTTACAGGACAAGGCTATGGTATCCAGCTGAAGCAACTAGAGGAATTTGGACAGAAAAGGTAAAATTATCCAAAAGAAGCTTAGACCACAATGTTGGAAGTATTACTGTTACCTTAGGGAACGCTCATTATTAGTTTGTTCCCTTTTCTGTAATAAACCCAACTGGTCTGGACCTTGGGTTTATGTGCTACCAGCACTGTGGTATTTCCAGAAGCGTAAGGTGAGGTTCATGATATCCAACATTGGATATCATGATATCCAAGCTCAGTTATTCCTAACATAAGAGTCTCCACCTGAGAGCGCCCCGTTACAGTCAATGGATAGAAATAGTCACATCTCAGGAGGTACGCCTGTGCCTCAGAGGACTATGCTGAGATGAGAGGAGCTGCGTCCTGGAGGTGCCTGATTGTCCATGTTAACTCTAAAAGGACTCTAGAGGAGCAGCTCACATGGGATGTCTGTGCTGCAGGCATGTGAATTTGGGTAGGTGAATCTCACCTTATAAGAAAACTGGTGCAGCAGAAAGAGCTCTGGTGTTTGGGGTTGTTTTTTTTTTTTCCTCGAATGCCCTTCTCTTTCTGGATTGCCTTTCAGTGCTCTGGCCCAACTCAACAAACAATTGCACGTAACACAGAATGGCATTGCACTGCTATATTTAACTACAGATTCTTTACAGATGCTGAACATTGACCTGTGTCTAACACTTCACCAAACAAGAATAAATTAGCATTAAGGAAAAGCAAATTAATTTGCGTCTAAGAATCTGTTTTGTTAAATGCCTTGGAGAGGTATTAAATTAAGCTTGCTGCAATGCCAAAGCACTTTCTATTGGCACTTGCCCAACACAGTGCATACAGCCACATAGCTCCCACTGCCTGCATTGTTTCAGGATCCCAGGATTTATTTGGCAGGCTTGTTCTTCTTTGCAGGTGCAGGGAGACTGTTCAGGTCGTCTTGTTCGGTGATGATGTGATCAGAGCTATCGTGAGAACAGTCCTTCATAACACTGTAGTACACCGGGGCGGTGTACGGCACAGGGTTCTCGGCACTCTTCTCTTCACACTTGCATAACTTCCTAAAGGCAGCCCTGAACTTCTGCGACATGAGGTTGTAGATGATGGGGTTGATGGCACTGTTCAGGTAGATGCACATGCGGCAGAAGAGGAGGAACCAGATGTTCAGGTATGGAGGGTCCATGAAGGAGTTCACCACCACCAGTGTGCGATAAGGCATCCACAGAAGGGCGAAGAGGACCACCACGACAGCCAGCATTTTGGTCACCTTGCCGGTGGGGATATGCAAAAAGAGAAAGAGTCAGATGATGCTAAATCTCCAGCAGAGCTTTCCCACCTGGAGAAACGGTGCGGACAGCTAACTCTGTCTACATATTGCTTGTATCTCTCTTTAAGCGTTTAAAATAGACACCCAAACCATGGGACTATTCCTCTCTGAATCCATTTTGTTCCTGAAAGTCTTGCATAAATAAACCCCTTAAATGATAGGTTTTCACCTACCATTGAAGAGCCTTTAAAACTCTTTAAGACAAGCATCCACCAGCCTGGAAGTGGTCTGCAATAATCATAAGAATTTCTGTACCAGAAAGCAAATTTGAAAATTGTACATAGCAACAAATCAATGGGGGAAAATAACTTGTGCGAAAGTGGGGACCTAAGTTTTGGGATGTCATGGGGTATATCTCAACTCCCTGCCTAGGATCTCTGGGTTTCCTGTCCCATCTACATTGTTCCAGGGAATCAGCTCCTGGTACAGAGCAGCACTGGGAGCAGAGGAGACTGTCTGGAGTCTTACACAAATTTCTACTTGTGCTGATATGGGAGTTACTTAGCTAATTGGCATGGGTTATTTTAATTTGCAGCACGCTAGGGAGGTACTACATTAACATATTAGGAACAAGAAGATCTTGTGAATTCAGAAGTGAGCAGTAATTGCCCTCAGCTCGACTCAAGCTTATTTAAGAAAATGGGGTTTTGTACTGAAACTTCAGCGATCTTAATTTCAACAGCTATTTCTGGTAGGTGGCAATCATCCTCCAACAAATACTTACAGAATACACATGTGCCCAAGGAGAAAAGTATGAGTAAACACTGATGCTGCATGCATATTAAGGCAGCAGTGTTTCAAACGTCGGAAGGGGAGTTGTGCAATGGTTCCAGTTTCTGATATGGAAATAAGCACTTAGATCGCATTCACAGTCTCTTGGCTTTTCTTGGAGTGCTTTTTTTACTTCATCACAAGCAACTACACCATCCTGTAATACTGTGAGTAGAAATCAGGGGTGGTTGGTAGTGGCAACAAAACCTTCCCTACAAGAAAGGGACTATTAGCAAGCTGAGGCTGAAATAGAAGTGTTTCGTGTGTGTGTGTGGTTTAATGGGAATGTGAGGACACTTCCCAGAATAAGATCTTGCAGGGATATGGTGAGTGCTGAGGCTCTTGCTAAGACTACAGCATGTTTGCTGCCACAGTTTGTTGCCTTTTGGGAAAGATATAAGCGATTGTACGAGTTGAATCAGTAAAAGGTAGCTTCAGAGCTTCTTGATGCCTTTTACAAGGGCTGGCTGGATCCAGAAGAGCGAGAGCCATCTCACAAGCTTTTTGTTTCAAGCCACCCTACCTAGTGCGCAAGTGCTAGGGTGATAATCTGGTTTATAGAAATATTCCTGAGTAGATAGGCTGGGAGTGGACAGCAGCCGCTTGGCACATACTTGACCATGATCAAAATCTCTACATGCCAGCATGGCTGTAGCCGCTGCCTCCGCCAAGGCTGGCAGGGCAATCCAGGCTCGGCCGCCCCTTGCTAAGGGAAGGAGCATCCTGACAGCAGTGGGGAGACCATATTGTTGTGCTCTGCACTGCAAGACCTGGAAACAGAGAGCTCCCGATACCAGATCAGTGCAGGAAGGAGCAGATTTTGCTTCAACACCATATGCCACATGAGCAGCGCATATAGATGGGACCCGTGTTCTCTACTGTTCTAAGCATCTTTATGGCAAACAGACACAGCAGTGATGGAGCATTCAGCCAGCCTGTTGCCTTCCACAGACTCGCTTTTGAGGTTTGCAAAGAGAATTGCTTTTGCCATATTTTTGATGCATCTGAGGTTTGTTTCCCGAGAATCTGAATGAAGCTGAGCTGAACAAAACTGTGCTAATAGCTGAACCCTACAGCAAAATGCAGCCAACTTCTCAGCTTAAGTGATCCTAAGTACCATTTCACTGAGAATTTAATTCCCCTCTAAGCAGTTTATTCTTCCTGGGAGATAAGGGCAGGCTCTGTGCTTTTCCATCCCATGCAGAGACTGAACATATCCCTGTCCTGCCTGGAAGGGTCCACATTAAAGGGCTGTCTTGGGGGTAAGATTGGTGGGAGTCTTTCCATCAAGTCCTAGGCAGCAGGATTACTGCAAATTATGCCCTGGGAAAGTGAAATGCCACACCTCTGCAGGTCCTCACCGAGACACAGGCACCCCTCACTTGGTGGTTGTCTCCGCTCCTGCGATGCAAAGTTACCCCATGCAGGGCTGGGGAGAATAAATCCCTGGGCTTTTTATACACTTAGCTCTGCTCTCTGGCAGGTGTCCCTTCTGGCCAGGAGCCTGCTGTATGGCTGAAATGTCTCCTTGAAAGCTAACACATTAATACTGCTCGTGTCCTGTCTCCTGAGGCTGAAACATGTTTGGCTTTTTGACTGTTGTAACTCTCTGCCTTGTTTTACTGTTCAGGAGCCCACGGTGGTTGTGAACAGTGATCTGAACTCTGTACCCGAGTGACAACACCAGGGGAGCGTATCCTAATAAGGCCAAAAAGTAAGTTCATTCCGGTCCTTTCTGAGGCCAGAAATGTAGTCTGGAAAAAACCACAGTGATTCATCTGCTTTTTAGCCATAACTGCCTCTGCTTTTTGGCTGCTTGTTAGGGAAATGCCGGCAGTGCTAGTGAGTGCTCGCCCAGCTCCCTCCCAAGCAAGCTCCCGACACCTCCCTCCAGACCATGGAAGACCACAAAGTGCTGTCATCCAAACAGCGCTTCCTGCTACCCTTCCTACAGCCCGGTGAAAAACCTGTCTTTGTCCTGGGAGGGGAAACCGGCTGGGAATGGTACCATGAGGATTTATTACATCCGTCTCACTCAATGCCTTCAGTGCTCCCCAAGGATGCTGCCCCCAGACCACAGGCAGCCGTGCCCTGAGCTTGCTGTAAGATTGAAATTTGCCTTTTTATGCCAACCATCCGTACGGACCGTGTTCTGCTGGGTGTGACTTTGGCAAAGTTGTGTAGACACAGGATGTCTCCTCTGGATCAAACCTAATGGTCTATCCCAAACTCACTGTTGTACCTCCATCGTAGGGAAAGAAATCTCCAGCATCATCTGCATGCACAGCTGAAACCTGTCTCTGTGCCTTTCCTCACTCTGCCTGCTGAGGTGAGTAACTACAGAACACTTGAGGTGCTCTGAACTTACTTCTGGTGCTCATCTGAAAAATGAACCTAATCAGCACTAAGGAGAGTTTGGGACATTTATCCCTAACTGGACTAGTCCTGAGTTACGGCTCCAAAAAACTAGCTGCACCCAAAAAAGCCAGAGCTTTGCTGTAACCCTGAAGCATCCCTCAGGGAAGCGCCAGCTCATCAACAACAATTTTTCCGACAAGTGTTTTGCAACGACTCTGTTGTACATAGTGTGTTCACACAACAGCTGTAAAGGAGCTACGGATAGAAACAAGACAAGGGCTTGTAGACAGAAGGAGATGTTTTACTAGAACAGTTGATATTTAGGTGAAAACCACTTTTGAGCATGTCAGCCAGTGTTGCTGGATGGCCAAGGATATCTGCTGTACAGACCCCTGACTACATCCTGGGTCCCTACACCAAAGCTAAGGGCCAGTTCACCTTCCACCACCACCAGCCAAGCCCGGGGTAACTTCTAGAGCAAACCCACTGTGAGCATCCTTCTCGCTCCAGACGAGATGATCGGCATCTTGCGTTCCCACGCAGCCCTTCCAACCCATCCCCTCTCACAGCGCTGTGTCCAGCCTCTGGCCCTGTCCTGGAAGCCACAGCCCCTTCTCCCCAGCCGGTGTCACCCCTCCTTGCCCAGGCACCCCCAGCCGGAGCGCAGCACCCTTTTTTAGGAATCCCGCTCCCTCTAGCGGTCCCTCTCCGGCAAGTGAAACACGTGCTTCCAGGTGGCTTGGTGCTTCTTTCCCTGGCCCTTTCATCTATAGGTGTCAAATGCAGCAAAAACTCACGCCTTGCATTGTCCTGCTCTGGACTAAGGTGTTTTAGAGGCACCAGCGAAGGAAGAGCAGCACCTTCATACTCTGCAAAGCAAGCAGTGCAGCGCTGGGGCTGCGTAGGAGCACATCCACAGTAAACACCCCCAGCCATCCCGGCTCTTTAGAGTCAAGGGAGAAAATTGGGTGCTTCTGGGGTAGCCCCTTTTGGATGTCTCCCAGGGGACTCTGGGCACAGGCCCTGGAGGAGCCAGTTCCTCTATAAAGAGAGGCCAGAGGAGAAGTGCTGACATGGGTGCCCGTACCCTGGTCAGAGGGATCTCCTGAGCTACACACACCCAACGCCTGTCCTCCCACCCTGCTCTGCTCTCCTGGCCGACAGATCCTCTGGAAGTCAAACCACCCTCTCATACCACTGGTCTGTGATGGGAATCTAGCAAATTGTGCACCGTCACCCCAACAAACCCAAAGGTGTTTGCAGGGTTGGGGTCCTGCTTCGCCACATCACCGGGACGCAACCTGCTGTCTGCAGGGTCTCGCGAAGCTCTCGCTGCACATGTGAAGCCTGTCAGACAGCAACACTATTGCTGTTTTGGACCAAACTTGCAAGCGTGATTTCTAATGGTGTCTTTAATGGTTTAGTCTGCATGGTGATTGCATTTTAAAGAAGCTGCCCCCTCACTTCAATCTTCCCTGCTGGTAGGACATGCATCGCTTTCATGGTCCTCACTTCTGACGCTCAGGACAAAACAGTTTACCAAAGGCCCCCATGGAAATTCCTGGTGACATTTCAAGGGCTGTCAGCACTTCTCAGGAGAGCGTGAGAGGTTGATGGCATTACCCATCAGGCTGCCCTTTCCTTTCCACCCTGGCCACGGGTGATTAATGAGCAAGGAAACCTGCTTCTGAGCTCCTCAGCCAGCATCAGCTACCGCAAAGCAGTGTCCAGTGGTCCGATGAGATCCATCTGTGTTTCTTCTTTCTGCAAGTTTCCTCTGGTTTTGAGGGCAGTCAGAAAATCAGAGCGAAAACCTTTCTTCTGGTGAAGACAACACAGGACACCAGTGTCCAGGCTGCTCCCTTTTAGGGCTCGTACCTGCCCATTGCATGGGGGCTTTTTGCCATTGATTTTCTTGGAGGTGAACCTCATCTGGAGAAGACCACTCAGGTCCCTTCTGTTCCTCTCTCCTGGTGTCCCATGGATCCAGGTGCTGGGGGAGCCATAGCCTCCCTGGGACTCTGCCCTGCCCCTTCACGTGGGCACATGCACCTCTGTCTCCGTCGTGCACAGGTCCCACTGTGGGGTCCCACTGGCCACAGGAATGCTCTCCTCTGCATTCACTTTTAATCTCCTCCTCTCATGCAGCATCTCCATCTGTCAGCTCTGCTGGCATGACTGGATTCAGCTACCTTCTTTCTCGGGTTAAAATCCCTTTCTTAATGATCTGCCCATTCCCCAGCACTCAGCCCGCACTTCCCTCTGCTCTGCCCCAACCGCCCCTCTGGGGTCCTGCACGCTGCAGCAGCTCCCCCAAAATATCATTCCTGTGGCCCTGGCTGCCCCTCCTCAGGGAGACAAATTGAAGGCAGAATCCAGTGCTGACTCCTTGGGGTCTCAGGCGGCCTCTTTCCTCCCTGGGTGGTTGGGTTGTTGGTTTTTCCCTCATAACTACATGCAGAATCATCAGTCACTGCAGCTTCTGCTCCTCAATCCATTGCACCACCGGTAAAAACCTCCGGCTGGATTTCAGGCAGTGCTCAGGTGGACTTTCTCTGACAGGACCTGGAGTCATTATGCTCCAAGCGCTGCTGCTCACGCTGCCCGAAACTCTTGTCAAAATAGCTGTGTGGTTTTACTCGGGCTTTGGTGCACAGACAACTTATTTCTGCACTGAGCATCCAGCAGATCAACCCTTCAGCAATGAATCAAACAAAGTTGAACATCCTGGTTTTTCCTCCTCTGATTTTATAGACAGTCATATAAATTTCCCTATGATTACACATAAAATGAAGAGATTGTGTTCTATGTCATATCCAACTTGTGAAAGATGTTTATGGAAAAACCTGGATTGCAGCCACCTCTGGGGCACAGCACTGCATCCATTTGACAGCCACCAACCCCTGTGCCAGCCACCTAGCCCACATGCCACCAGTGGCACAGCTGGGGTTTCTTCCTCTATCACTCTCAATACAGCTTGCTTTGAAGAGCTGCTGGTGTGAAATCAGAAGGAAGCATTCAACAAACTATAGCTGGAAGCCCTGGAAAACTGCTTTACAGTTTAAAAATTCAGTGCCATCCTTACTCCTAATGATGCCAGCTCTGTGATGGCAGGCCAGCCAGGGGAAGTCTTTGCATGCTAAGATATTTTGAGAGGTAACGATGATCTCAAAAAAACTCCCAGCGTAACAGAAAAGAGAGCAGAAGGTGTTTCCAGGAGCTGGAACACTCGGCATCCAGCCCCATCAGCCTAATGATGCTGGAGCACGCTGTGTGGGGCACGGCCACTCCACGGCACAGCACGACACGGGGAGCAGCACAGCCCCTGCAGCGGCTGCTCTGGAAGGAGAAGTCCATGGACCTGCACCTCTCGGTACTGCCTTGTCGTGTGGAGACCTCACTGCCGAACACCCTGCACAAGGCTCCCGCAGCAGCCAGCGGCCCTAGGAGAGCAGGCAAATACTTTTGCAGAAGTCAGGACTTGCTTTAAACCTTTCTGTGCTGGAGCAAAAGTGAGAAGAAGCTGAACTGGAAAGACTTAGAAGTTCATGAAGAAATACACGTTCTCTGGACTGTTTGCCTCCCCTCCGTGGCTCTGAATCATCTCTCCTGGGGAACGGAGGTTCCTATGCAAGTCAGGCAACGAGATACTCAGCTGAAGCCTATTTCAGGCTGTCTGGAAATCACAACAGAACTGGTGATTTCAAGGACTCCAGCGAGACTCTCAGATTCAGCCCTTTCCTTTAAAATAGCGCATGCCTCTGCCTATTCAAAGTTTGAAACCGGAATGGGATGGTCTCCTGCAAACAGCCAGCTAGCAGGTAAGAGTGTCCCATGTCTAGATACTGACCTGTCCAAAGAGATGGGGCAAGAGACAGCAATTGTCCGTGTGGACAGAGAAAGAGGAGGAACGAGAGCAGAAGGAGGTGGGAGCAGAAGGAGATGGGGAGCGAGCAGGCAGCTGAATAACAGAGGAGTCACTGAGAGGCAAACACACCGTTGTGACACCGGGGTGCCTTCCCCTCGGTGCAGGGACAGGGGGGCTGCAGCCAGGGTTGGACTCAGAGGGCAGGCGTTGTGCCAGCTCTCCCTTCCATTTGCTTCTCTAAATCTGAGCTCACCTGCCCAGGACCCTGTCTGGGAGGTGAGTCCTGCTGGCATAATGTCACCCAGCAGTCCCCTCCTCGGGAGGCAATTAGTAATCAATTAGCCAGCAAACATCCCTCCACTCCTGCCTCTCCCAAGTGATGCTGGAGACCTGTCCTGCTCCACCAAGCCCAGCCAAAGCAGGAGGAGCCCATGCGTGCTGCCAGACCCCAGCTGGGCTTGGTGGGGGTGGCTTCTGTGCAGCAAACCAACCCTCTCCACTCCCTACACAAAGGCAAGCAAAATATTGGGGGATCCCATCCCCTGCTAGAATGCCCCTCAAAGCACTGAGCCCCTGCCAGCGCTGCCTGCAGCCCAGCATATGCCCCAGCCCGGCGGGGAGCCCCTACCTGCTTGCGGGAGCTCAGGGCCCCCTTGTTGCCCCGGCAGGAGAGCTTGAGGGAGCCGCCCTGGTGCGTGGAGCCCAGGCAGGAGTGCTGCGGGGTGGCGGGCAGGGGGCTCATGAAGAGGATGCGGGCAATGAGGCCGTAGAGGACAGTTGCCAGCCCCAATGGGATGACATAGAAGACAGCAAAATCCAAGAAGTAAATGGGCATGTAAAGGCTTCTGGAGACCCGGTAGCCACAGCTGACCTGTGCCCCATCTGAGAAGGTGACCTGGGTCGTGTCCACCAGGAAGAACCACATGAGGCAATAGAGGGAGGTGAAGAGCCACAGCGAAGAGATGATGCGCTTGGCGCGGGACACGGTGCACAGGAGCTGCGCTTTGATGGCGTGGCAGATCGCGATGTAACGCTCCACTGTGAAGGCGGTGATGGACCAGGCGGAGATGTTGATGCCCAAGTACTGCAAATAGGTGATGCAGAG